CATGAAAAGCGAACTCACACCTTTACAAAAATAACTTTTCGGCCAGGCGCGCAGGTGCTCACGCCTGTAATCCTAGCACTCTGGGAGGCCGAGGTGGCGCGATTGCTCAAGTCAGGAGTTTGAACCAGCCTGAGCAAGAGTGAGAGCCCATCTCTACTATAAATAGAAAGAAATTCATTGGCAACTAACTATATATAGAAAAAATTAGCCCGCATGTGGGCGCATGCCTGTACTCCCAGGTACTTGGGAGGCTGAGGCAGTAGGATTGCTTGAGCTCAGGGTGTGGAGGTTGTTGTGAGCTGGGCTGATGCCACAGCACTCACTCTAGCCTGGGCAACAAAGCGAGACTCTGTCTCAAATTAGCCGGGCATGGTGGCGCATGCCTGTAGTCCCAGCTACCGGGGAGGCTGAGGCTGGAGGCTTGCTTGAGCCCAGGAGTTTGAGGATGCTGTGAGCTAGGCTGACGCCAGGGCACTCACTCTACCCTGGGCAATAAAGCGAGACTCTGCTCTCAAAAATAAATATATTAACTTTTCTTTCTGAATTTAATACAATTTTATCAATCAGGGTACTGACCTAAGAGCACTGTTTGCCACTTTGGCAGTATTAAATTTTGAAATACTATACACCTGCAGCCCAACCCCGCCTGGCAGCAGCCAGGTATCAGTCCTGGGCCTATTAGGAACACTGCTGCGTATGACCATCTTGAGCCGCCCCAGCCCCACCCCAACTCCCAACGGTGAAAAAAATGGGAAAACTGTCTTCCCTGAAACTTAGAAACTGGACTGCACAGGAGGATGAGCGAAGCTTTATCTGTATCTTACTTACAGCTGCTCTGCCTCCCCCATCTGCGGAAAAATTGTCTTTTTGTAAAACCAGGTCCCTTGTGCAAAAAAGGTTTGGGCCACTGCTTTATGCTAAAATTTGATTCCCTTTCAACTGATCAGGAAAAAAATCTGAGTTGGCAGAAGTTAGTCCCACACACTACTCAGCTAATGGGAGGCATAAAATCTGATTCCAACTTCTACCTGCACCTGACAATGCAAGGCAAAGCATTCATTCATTTTAGTGTTGCACAAGTGTAAAGATCATATAATCTGGACTTACTAACTTTATTTAATTTTTTTTTTTTGAGACGGGGTCTCGCTCTTGCTCAGGCTGGTTTCGAACTCCTGACCTCGAGCAATCCGCCCGCCTCGGCCTCCCAGAGAGCTAGGATTACAGGCGTGAGCCACCGCGCCCGGCCAAGGACTTACTAACTTTAGGTAACAATGATTTTATTTTTGAGACATAAGAGTCTTGCTCTGTTGCCCAGGCTAGAGTGCCATGGCATCAGCCTAGCTCACAGCAACCTCAAAGCCCTGGGCTCAAGCAATCCCCTATCTTAGCCTCCCTGAGTAGCTGGGACTAGTTAAGTAGAGACAGGTCTTGCTCTTGCTCAGGGTGGTCTCAAACTCCTGAGCTCACGATACTGTGGTATTTGCAGGAAGGGCCAACAACCCAATAACATTACTTAGAAAATGAAGATCAGGTTTAAGTAGGGTCAAAGGTCTCCTTACCATAGGTAGCCTCTTTGTCCCCAATCCAACGCAAGGCCCAATCTGCCTTCTTCTTGACACAAGGCATCGTTTCAATGGCATTGAAGAGATATTCCCTAGTAGGCATATATAGCATCAGCAATCACATCACAGCCAAGACCTCTGAGCACAAACTTCTAGATAAGAGTGCTGAGACAGAAGGCCAGCACTTCTGTCTTCAGAAGGCCAGTATTTGCCCATTCTTTCCCCTAAAAGGACTCACACCGAAATCTTTTCCTCTTACTGGTTAGCTTCTCCCTCCAGTGTCCTTTTAGAAACCTCAACATTCATTTATGTTAATTAATACAAGTTTGGGTATTCTGTAGTCCATACTGAGCTCCAAAGTCTATGAACACTAAAACTTAGTCCATTACACCAGGGGCAACATTGCCTTAATTATTTCAGGTCCAGATCATAGTTCGGAACCCCTATCTTCTTTAAATTTCAAGAACCATAAAATCTTAACTGTTATGCTATTATCCCACTAAATAAACATCCCCAAAGACTATCACTGGGCACATTATTTGGGACTCAACTGCCACATCTATATAATTAAACCAATAAACTAAACCATCTAAGATTGCTTCCTACTAGAATTCTAAGATACACAATTGACCCCAGATCAGGAAAGCAAATTGGTGGGTCCAACAGCTACCTTGGTCCTTACTACCTTCTTCTGCCTCCCTTCATCCTGTTGTCCATCTTGAGTCTACCTATTTCCTAGCCTATTCCCACCCAGATGACCTTGTGTTCTGAAGCAAAGGTCACCAGACACTCTGCTCTTTCCATCTTAATGTCTTCCTCTTTGAGTGACTTGGCCTGCCTGTCTCATGTTCTTGGGGCTTACCGACCCCTGACCTTTCTGATCCCACCCTTCCATCATACTCCCAATCTTGCCTCTATCTTTTCTTATTTTTGTCTACATGTTCAAATCTCTTCACCAGCAAAGAGTTTCCTCAGACCTTTCAACTTCCTGCTCATTTTCCCTCTTCACAGGCTTCCACGCAGTCTGCAATAGCCAGTTTGGGCTTCAGCTTTGCCACTTTCACCCATACAAGGCTTCTTCCCCTAAAGCTGACTTGGCAAGCTCCTTAAAGGACAAGTCCTCCTCTCTCACCAGTCCCACCCAGCCCCATTGTAGGTTCTCAACAGGTTTGTCACAGGAGTAAAAAGACCGCCAGCCCTAGGTTTTGCTTCATGTCATACCCAACACCGAGGGATTTTTTTCTTTTTGATTTTTCCTTTTTCAACACAAGATAGGAAGAAATGGGGATGTTTTCTCAAAAGGCACCAGACTGGTTGCTCGACTGTACACTCATAACATTAAGTGAATGACTAATAAAGTGAATTCAGGCTCCTTGCTAAGAGCAGACATGCCCATAGGTGGTAGAAACGTCTGACTGCTTAGTCATTCTGGAGTCATTTTTATCCCTATGTGAACCAAAAAACTTGAAATAAAGTTAACAATTAATAAGTCCTCAACATCTTGCACACCACTTGAACACTCACCTTTCTTTGGAGTCTTTAATGTAAGTATCAATGAGGAGACTATACATTTCAGAATGTATGTTTTCCATGGCAATTTGGAAGCCATAGAAACAGCGAGCTTCTGTAATCTGAACTTCTTGGCTAAATCGCTCCACCTAGTGCCAAAATATCAAAGTTAAGCTTGAAGAAAATACAACTGTCAATGGAAACTGGTATCACCCCAGTCTCTTCTTTGTACCAGTGTAAGGTTTGTTTCTATATATATTTAATACAATTTTTCACAAGTCTGTGATAAAGGTTGACATTTTATATCATATATTCAATTTACAAATCAGGAAATAGATGATTCCTGTCTCACAAGGTTTCTCTGAGCACTTGATTATTGATTTATTCTTTCCTAATCCATAGCAAGCCATTCACAATAAAGCATATGCAACCAAATTATTAAAACAGCAAAGCCACAATAAGAGGACAAATGTGGCCTCAAGGAGTAAACCTATAACTACCACTTAACATTGTCTTTGAGCTTCTCCAGTCAAGAAAAATACCATAAGGAGAAATAAGTGCAAATTGTGTTGCAAAACAGGAATTGTCATGTAATATATACACACACACATTCAGTGTGGAAAAATTAAAAGACAAAAGCAATCTAGTTTCTACAGTAAATCTTCAAGTGAAAATAAGTTGTTTTTCGGAAACTCACCAAGTTTTCATTTACTATGCCATCACTAGCTGCAAAGAAAGCCAGAACATGCGATATGAAATATTTCTCATCAGGCTTCAGAGCTTCCCAGTGCTGAATGTCCTTGGAAAGAAGCACTGAAACTGACCAAGGGAAGATGACTTCAACTACTGATGCCACTGAAGCAGGCTCAGCCCCACTCAAGGCCTCAATGCTCCACCTAGACAAGGTCAAGCCGGTCTATTCCTCTGTGTGGTGGCAAGAGAGCCAGAACTTTTATTCAAAGTATTCTTTCTATATAGCTATGAGCTCCAATTTTGGCACTACCCCAGCAAAAGGCAACCTGACAAGGCTAGTTAATTTTTAGATATTCGAAATCTGATGCAATTTAAGTGAGTCAATCTTAGTGTCTGAACTCTGATAAGATTCAAAGCCTATGTCCCCATACAGGAAGGAAGATCTTTTTAAGATCTTCCTATAAGGTAAGATCAACTGTTTGATCTGGCCAGTGGCTCAAAGTATGGTAGGTTCATGCTCCCTGCCTTTCAAATGTGACTTAAACCTAGGCACTTTCACCTTCCTTTCCTCAGTTTAATCCAAGAGTATTCAAAGACATATACTGGACCAAAATGAACTCTCATTTCATTGAGATGTTTATCAATGAACTTTTAAGTAGAGTAGGATCACATATAATACCAGGCAAGTATAATAAAACGTCCCTTTAAAAAGCCCCATGAAGTACTTATAGTTTTGTGCATTCCAGTCCGTAGGGCAAGATGTATATACTAATGCATGATATTGAGAATGCAAGTAAAATAACCTCAGCAAAGTATTTCCTTCTTTGCCGAGTATGCACATGGTTGAACTCACATATTAAATGTGGATATGATGCCATCTGGTATCTTGGGTCCCCTTCAGTGAACAGAAGAGCATGCCTAGGAGTTGTACATGTTTGGGGAACAAGCTAGACTGTTATTTCATTTAGACTCACCTCATCTCTGCTAATAAGTTCATTGGAAAATGTGAGGCCGGGCATCAGTCCTCGTTTCTTGAGCCAGAATATTGATGCAAAAGAACCAGAAAAGAAGATGCCTTCCACTGCAGCAAAGGCTACAACCCGTTCTCCTATTTAAGGGTAACAGGCAAAATGTTTCTAGTGAGTAACTGGTAACTTTAGGTAACAATGATTTTATTTTTGAGACATAAGAGTCTTGCTCTGTTGCCCAGGCTAGAGTGCCATGGCATCAGCCTAGCTCACAGCAACCTCAAAGCCCTGGGCTCAAGCAATCCCCCTATCTTAGCCTCCCTGAGTAGCTGGGACTAGTTAAGTAGAGACAGGGTCTTGCTCTTGCTCAGGGTGGTCTCAAACTCCTGAGCTCAACGATCCTCCTGCCTCAGCCTCCCAGAGTGCTAGGATTACAAGTGAGCCACCAAGCCTGGCCAGTAACAATAATTTTAAAGATAGAAAAGGGTCTTACTACAGGAACTTCAAAATTGACTATTTATACAGTAAATGAAGAAGGAAACTAACAGTAAGTTAATGGCTATACAGCTGATATACAATACAATCAGTTAACAAATGGGGCCAAAAGAACATGTATTATGCATCATCTTCCATATGATATCAGCTTTTTATTTTTCTAAACATAAAGGCAGATTAATTCAAAGTAGCTCTATATCTATTAGCTTATGCTGTCTTCCGAAATTAATTTGAATGGATTAATCACTCATACAAGGCTAGTTTTCTACTGAAGTTTAAAAATCTACCAGATGATGCTCAGGTTTAGACAACTGTTGGAATTGCATAAAAAATATTTAGTCAATTATTTAGTCAGTATTAGTCAATATATTTAGTCAATTTAGTCAACTTAAAGACACTACTGGGTCTTTTATTTCAAAGTATTAACTACAGGTAAAATCTAAAAGGATATACATACTAAAAAAATATTTTCCAATTAATTTACAATATGTAGTAAATATAAATGAATTAACTCTCAACAGTACATACTTACATACAAATTAAACAAAAGCAGAATAAACAACTCTTAGGAGAGCCAACTTCAATCCCGATTTTATCACTTAACAAGAGCAAGATCTTAGGTCATTCCATTCAAGGATGACTAGAAAATTTATAATACTACCTTAGACTCTACCTAAGAAAACTCTTCAAGGATTTTGTCAGATAGAAGTTGGGGAAAATTCAATTTAAAAAAAAAAATTGTATTTTCTAGCCCTCATACACATTAAAACCCAGGTCCCTAGCGGTCAACCCAGACCATCATTCCTAATGATTTGGGTTAGAAGACCCTTTCCCTGAAAGATGACCCTTTATCTCTTACCCACAACACTCCACCCAGGCTACAGGATAACAAAACACAACCTTGTCTTCTATGTAGCACCAAGAGACTAATATCTAGGTATGCCAATAAAATTAAAGACAACCTAGGATTGTCTTTAACGTCTATTAAAGAGTATTTTGATTCATTAAAGAAAATAAAGTTAAAAATGATGTGCTTAGTCTACACAGGTTTAACTTATTTTCTAATAGTAACTTGGTAAATTTCAAACCGGCTTAGTAGTAGTAAACAGACTACTTTGTACTTGGTGTAAAAACCAAATAAATCAGGCTAGACCTGACAGTACGAACAATGCTATTCTTTGAGAACGTAAACTTTTAAATATGCTCTGAAGCAGGGAGGCTGCATCTTACAACTGCCTTGTGGCGTAAGTGAATGTTTAATCCTGCTGGGCCACATTCACTAGGGTCTCCACAATGTAAGGACAAGGTTGCCACTCTTAATGTTACAGTGAAGTTGTAGCCTGTGAAAACAGATAATTGTTTTTATCCTATAACACTCTTTCCTTCTAGGTGCTACTAAGGATGGATTTTGAGGTAGCTACACAGTTTTAAAGATGGTGTTAATGAATATTTTGGATAATTCAGACTGTATCTGGTTAATACACTTCAGCTGATTTTTTTTTTTTTTGATGACAAAGAAAAATCAGCAAAATTAAGGGCACATCTCCAGTTCATTTAGAAGTCAGCATCCAAGGTAAAAGAATTCTCTGTTGGACTTGACATCACTCCCATTCTCTGATATTCGCCTACTCTCTTCTCAAAGAAGTTAGTCTTTCCTTCCAGTGAAATATTCTCCATAAAGTCAAATGGATTTTCTACTCTGAACACCTGAAAAGGTTCACATCAAGATATAAATACAGAACAACAATTTCAGAAGAAGCAGAAGAGTATAAACAATACTTTACCTTGCTAAAACCCAGTTCCAGCATAAGTCTGTCTGCCACAAATTCAATGTACTGCTTCATTAACATGCAATTCATCCCAATGAGCTTCACAGGCAAGGCTTCAGTGAGGAACTCCTAGAGAACAAAATACAGCTTTTAATACCACCAAAGCACAAAAGCATGTAGCAAGCACTAGAGTGGCCTGTACACATCACCCACCTACCTGCTCTATCCTAACAGCATTTATAATTATTTCTTTTACTCTCTGCTCCGACGGTTTATGTACCAGGTGTTTGAACATCAGGCAGGCAAAGTCACAGTGTAAACCCTAGAAGAAAAAGTTCAAGATCATGAAAGCCAGAAGACTTTGAAATGCTTATTCTTTTCTGCATTCTCCTTCTACAACTTGCTCAGCCTTACTGAAAGCACTGAAACTGACAAAGGGAAGATGACTTCAACTACTGATGCCACTGAAGCAGGCTCAGCCCCCACTCAAGGCCCTCAATGCTTCCACCTAGACAAGGTCAAGCCGGGTCTATTCCTCTGTGTGGTGGCAAGAGGAGCCAGAACTTTTATTCAAAGTATTCTTTCTATATAGCTATGAGCTCCAATTTTGGCACTACCCCAGCAAGAAAGGCAAACCTGACAAGGCTAGTTAATTTTTAGACATTCAGGAAATCTGATGCAATTTTAAGTGAGTCAAGTCTTAGTGTCTGGAACTCTGATAAGATTCAAAGCCTATGTCCCCATACAGGAAGGAAGATCTTTCTTAAGATCTTCCTATAAGGTAAGATCAACTGTTTGATCTGCCCAGTGGGCTCAAAGTATGGTAGGGTTCATGCTCCCTGCCTTTCAAATGTGACTTAAACCTAGGCACTTTCACCTTCCTTTCCTCAGTTTAATCTTGCCGATTTTTCCTCAGACAAGTAACTTCAATTGGCATTTCATGTGGCTCGATGCATAAATATTCACAGTCACATTGAATTCCATATGCCACATAAAAGGAATATACTGTATAACTACTGGGAAATGTCCATTTGCGCAGAGTGAGTCCTTTCGGGGCGGGGACACTTTGGCGGGAAAAGCGCCCGGCTCTGTGAGGAGACAATGCGGTTTTGGCGCCGAGCCGCTCAGGGGGGTGCTCAGACTTCCTGTCCCGCCGCACGCCCGCCACTCACCGGCTCCTCGGGCTCCTGGAAGATCCTCCTCGCGGTCTTGCTGGCCAGGACGCGGGTCCCGTTCAGGCTCGGGGGCTGCGGGGAGACGCGCGTGAGGGGCTGCGGGGTGCCCTCGTCACCCGCCCGCGGCGCGCGCCCGCAGCCCAGCGCCCGGCCCCGCCGCAGCCCGGCCCCGCGCGCTCACCGTGTTCTCCTTGTCGGCCAGGCTGAGCCCCTTCAGCGGCGAGAGCCGCGGCTGCTTGTCCGCGACCGGGGCGACGGGGGCGAACGGGACGCGCACGGAGAGCATGGCGGCGGAGGCAGGCGCGGCGGCGGAGGCAGGCGCGGCGGCGAAGGACACTGCAGCAGCGGCGAGGGGCGCACAGGGATGGGCCGAGGTCTCGCGTCCTTAAATGCCTGTGCCCTCCCACTCCGC